CTAGCTCTGCTTTATTGTCCTTCTTTGGACAGTGTAGGAATCTGCATTAAAATATTCTGTCCATATTGTTTGAACATATAAAAGGAACCCCACCACTGCTCTGAATTTTTGGTTCCACTATTGAACTGCTCCTATGTTTAGGCAATTGTTTCCACTAGTCAATGGCATTTTGCTCTCTACAGAAAGAGAAGGAGGAACAGGAGGATGGGGTATACAAGGAGAAGGGGAAGGAGAAAGAAAGAGACAGTGAACAAGGAGGAGGAGAAAGGATACAAGGAGAAAGAGAAGAAGAAAGAGAAGGTGTACTAGAAGAAGAAGAAGCAAATGGAGACAGTTTATGAGGACAAGGAGAAGAAAAAGGCGAAGGAGAATGTTTATGAGGAGAAGAAGAAGAAAAAGGAGAAGGTTTATTAGGAGGAGGAGGAGGAGGAGAAGGAGAACATATACAAGGAGAAAGAGAAGGTGTACAAGGAGAAGAAGAAAGTATACAAGGATAAGAAGAACAAAAAGGAGGAGATACTCCAAGGTGAAAGCAGTTTTCACCAATCACATATTAAAAATGACATGCTCATGGGAATATTTTGAAGAAGTTTTAAATTGAAGTCTTTGGGAGAAACACATTCATTCGCTTCAGAAGTTCACTGGGTGACTTTGGATCGCTTACTCCCTTTTCATATGACGATCCCCAGAGATGAACTTGGAGAAGAAATAGGGCAATTAGCAAAAGATGATTTAAGTCCAAGAAAAGAAAAGAAATTTAGAGTGATTCTGCCTCTGCTCCAAGGCTAAGTTTTTGTTCTTAACAATCTATTTCAGTAAGTTCCACTATTTCTGTTTCCTGAGAAGGCCTACTTTGCAGGGCTAATGCTCCCCTCAACCTACCTCACAAGGTTATTGTTCTAGGGAAAAAATAGGAGGCGAGAGCACTATGAAAGAAGGGGAACGACACTATCTGAAGTCTGGTATGTCCAAGGATGACTTCAGTCTGTCTTGCTCCTGGGTGGAGGATAAAATGAGGCAATGACACGAGAATAGAAAAAAAATGAAGAAACTGTCAGGACATGTTTATGGAAAAGGACCTTTATTGGCTTATTTCTATATATTCTTGTAAAATGCATGCAGAGACATTTCCAATGTGAAAAACAACAAAATATTCCTTTGGGCCATTTGGGGGGCTTTTTCTATCGCTTAGTAAGTGTTCTTTATTGTCCATTTTATAAATTGTCAAAGACATTTACACTGTGTAGAAGTAAGAACATATGAGAAAGAGAAAATAAGTTAGGTGGGGGGGTCTTAGAAATCAGATTGTAGACTAAGGCCAGATGAGACTTTAATTAGAATTTTCACCAACTTTTATTTTACTTTGCAGGGCTGTGGGAGGCTACAGCCCTGAAGGAAAGTGATTAAAAACATAATTAAAAATATGTGCTTATTTACAACACAATTAAATTTACCAAAGCAGTCTTTTAAATCTTTCTGTTTACCTTACACCCACGCACCCTCACTCAGGATGCTTCTGGGAATGGTAGCTTCCTTCCTTCCTTCCTTCCTTCCTTCCTTCCTTCCTTCCTTCCTTCCTTCCTTCCTCCCTCCCTCCCTCTCTCCCTCTCTCCCTTCCTTCCTTCCTTCCTTCCTTCCTCCCCTTCCCTCCCTCTTAATTTAATGATGGGGAAATAATGGAAAATAGACTTTGGATATGATTTTTTTTTTTGCTCAAAATGATTTCCTTCCTTCCCTTCCCTTCCCTTCCCTTCCCTTTCCTCCCTCCCTCTAAATTTAATGATGGGGAAATAATGGGAAATTGAGTTTGAATATGATTTTTTTTGCTCAAAATAATTTCCTTCCTTCCCTCCCTCCCTGCCTGCCTGCTTTGGAAAAGTAGAGACTCGTGCTGAAAGGTTTGTTTTGGAGTCCCTCCCTTTCTCCCACGCCAGCTGTGGTTGGAGAGGAAAAGGTTAACATCGGGCAGGCACTTTTTCCTCTCAGATTCAGGGACTGGGCTGGGCTTTGGGGAAGGCAGAGTTCCTGCCAGGGCAGAAAGAGAGAAGAACCCATTGCTGAGTCAAGGAAGTATTCTGGCAGGCAGGCTGCCAGGCAGGCAGGCAGGCAGGCAGATGTGAGCATACCACGAGATCAGGTGAGGCACTGAGAAATAAGTTTGGGCTTGTGAGACCTTCGTTGCGGCAAGGAAGAGAGGAGAAGAATTTGCCTTTTTCATTCTGGTGATGAGCAACCAGAGAATCCAATGGTAAGGTAAGGACCTATTCTATGCGATAAGGGGCACAGGGCTGCTGCTGCTATATCTATATTTGAGAGAGGAAGAACTGACCCAGGATTTTGTGATCAATATTTGCTTACCAGAATGACAAAGACTGAGTTTGGCTGAGTTTGCTTTGACTTAGCAAGGAGCTTTGATCTTTAAGGGAATGAGAGGGGCAAAGGAGTGTCACAGTATTTTACCTTTGGTCAGTCCAGCTAAATGTGGGGATGTCTTGAATTCAGGTCCTCATTCAGAGATAAAGGTTCCCTAGACAATCTACCACACTGGGTTGTAAGAAGTTTTTAAAACTTGTCTATGTGGGAACATCTCAGAAGATGTTCCAATATCTCAGGGGCTGCCACAAAGAAGAGGGAGTCAGGCTATTCTCCAAAGCACCTGAAGGCAGGACAAGAAGCAACGGGTGGAAACTAATCAAGGAGAGAAGCAACCTAGAACTAAGGAGAAACTTCCCGACAGCTAGAACAATTAACCAGTGGAACAACCTGCCTCCAGAAGCGGTGAATGCTTCAACACTGGAAGTTTTTAAGAAGAGACTGGACAGCCATTTGTCCGAAATGGTATAGGGTTTCCTGCCTGAGCAGGGGGTTGGACTAGATGACCTCCAAGGTCCCTTCCAACTTTACTATTATTTTTTTATAAGGTAGGACAGAAATTCTGAAGTCTGTAATTCAAGAGGTGGGGAAGGAATAAATATATAAGATTCCTACTTTTGGGGGTATTGATTTATTTCACCTATGCAATATTTATTATTTTTTCCTCTCTTTTCTGGACTCTCTGCTTCTCTGATTTCCCTGACCATCTTTTCTGTAGGATTTTCTCCCTTTCTGTGATTCTCTCCCAACAATTTTTGTGTCTGGTTTAAAACCTGGTTTCTGTCCATTCCAGTCTGAGCAGACTTTCCTCCAGAGATCGATCAAGTTGGTGAGAAAACAGGAGACGATGCCTTTGTCATCTTCTTCATTCATGAAGTTTTAGAGATGAATTCACTAAGGAATATTTACACCCTTAATCAGTTCTAAAAATGAAAGAGGTTCTGTTCAGAAGTACTCATTGAAGTTTTCTTAATCTTGGGGAATTGTAGTGTAGTTTCTAAAATAAGGGGGGGGGACTTGTAGGGTATTTAACCTATTTTTTTTCCTTGATACCAGAAAAACAGAAGTGGAGATTTACTAGAAAGCTGGCTAGATCTACCTGCCTGCTAAGGTCATTTGTGTTTTATCTCTCCTAAAAAAAAAAAAAAGGAAAACAAACATTTCTAAAACTGTTTTTCTGGTGAAGGAAGCTGTAGCCCACAAAAACTTATGCTTTTTAATAAATCTGTTAGTTGGAAAAGGCCTACCAGGCTCCACCATAGATTAAAACATCTGTTTCACAATGTTCAAGATGTCTCCCCACCCCCCAAAGAATTGAGGCTAAATCCTAGGAAAAAATCTTATGACTTGGGATGCAGAGAGAGAGAGAGAGAGAGAGAGAGAGAGAGAGAGAGAGAATGAGGGGGGGGGGAAGAGAAAGTTATTGGATGCATCTGATACATCTCCCCTGAAACATCACTTAGTGATATTCAGGTGTGCTATGACTACAGCCCTTGTGATTTGTTCAATAAACCACACTTAAGCAATATGTAAATCCAGCCTAAACTTCCTCGTATTACAGCTACTTCAGCTGCATGAAGCTTCATCTTGAGTTGGCAGAAAGGCTTTGAGGTGGTAGCAATGATAAGCAAAAAGAAAACAAAACTTCATAAGTACAGATTGTGCTGCTTAAGATAGCAAAAATATACTAAACGCCTACAAGGCAAACACTTTGGACCACTTAAGTAAATGGTGAGATATAAACTGTAAGATTCATTCAAGTTCTAGGAAATAAATCTGAGTGTTTAGATCAACTTTTAAACAAGGAAAGAACTTCTTTTATATATATAAAAAAGAAAAATTAAAAACTAACAAAAGAAAAGTAAAAGAAAGAAATTGAAACAGAAAGATAAAAATGCAAAAAGTGGGGGGGGGGGAAGAAAAATAGAAAAGGAAAAAAATAGCACAAAAGATTTATAAAGAAGATCTGATCCTTATAGCAGTCATAAATACATTACAGGTAGTCCTTGACTTAAAACAGAACATTTAGTGACCGTTCAAAGTTATAACAACACTGAAAAAAGTGACTTATGACCATTTATCATACTTACGACCATTGCAGCATCCCCATGGTGATGTGATCAAAATTTAGAAGCTTGGCAACTGACTCACATTTATGACAGTTGCAGTATCCTAGGGTCATGTGATCCCCTTTTGCGACCTTCTGACATGCAAAATCAATGGGGAAACCAGATTCACTTCACAACCGTGTTACTAACTTAACAGCTGCAGCAATTCACTTACCAACTGTGACAAGAAAGGTCATAAAGTGGGGCAAAGCTCATTTAACACTCAGCAACAGAAATTTTGGGCTCAATTATGGTCGTAAGTCGAGGACTGCCTGTATAAATTTACCTATTATACTATGGTTACAACACAACTCTCTTCTTTCCATAATCAATCCTATCTAATCATCAAAACTATAAATCATTTTTTTTTCTCTTTCAGGCAAAAGTCTGTAAAGGGGTAGAATAGGAGAGAACTTTAAAGGCAGCCTCAATTAATCTTTAATCACAGCCTCTCCGTCTGTTGTTTTCTTATCTAGTTCCTTCTGTTTTACATTTCCAGCACTGAAGCTACCAACATGTTTTCTCACATTGGATTTTGCTGAAACTGCTGCTGAAATTACTTCTGGTGTTTTGACTGCCTTCTTATCGTCTGGTTGAACTCCTCTGCTCAGTTGTGACTTTTCTCCTTCCTTGAGAGTTTCTGTTTTCCACTTACTGGACACCATGGCCTCTAATGGATGTAGAAATTTCTCATATCTAATGGGTCAAGAAGAGGATGCTTGCTCACCATGCTGACTTCTGTGGTTGAAGAGTAAGTGAGACTTTCTCCAAAGTGGGACTTCACAGGAGCCAGTGAGCCATGCCCTGCCAGCGTCGTCCACGGACAGCCAGTGACACTCCCAGAGAAGACCTCTTCTATCAAACCTATTATTGCTTGAGCCAGCAGTACCCTCTGATTCTTCTTCTCTTGGTCATCGTACTGAGCATCTGTGCGGCTCTCATTGCTACCACCTTTTGCAGTGGTAGGGTAAGTTTGCAATTAAGAGAGCAGAGGAGGGTTTGGTGTCTTTGGAAACAAGCTCTGTAAGATCCAGTGTTTTAGGAGCAGAAAGAACAAAGAGAAGACCTTTCTGGAGGTGCAGTCATGTAGGAAGTCTGCATTTTCCTTCGATTCTTGGGAATCTCCACTGAAATGAGCAGGAAGCAAGTGATGATTAAAAAAAATGTTTCCCTGCCTAGGAAATGGCTGCAAGTTTTTCCCGGCAATTGTGGGCTGGAAAAATAAATGAATAATGAATGAATAAATAGGTCCAAGTCACTTTTCCCAGCTTTCCCACCTTCTTCCCCAGCAAAGAGATAAAAATAGAGGAAAAGAATAGAGGCAGTTGGGATGACCATGAAAAAAACTGCCCATCCAGGAAAATACAGATATTTGGGTCTTTTAAAAGAACTGCAGAATTTGATCACGGTATGATGGAATTGTAGAGTTAGAGGGAACATAAAGATGATCTATTAGAGGTTCCTCTGCAATATGCTGGAAAACTACTTAAGTTATCAGTGAAAGATGGTTGTCCACCTTCTTCTTAAAAACCTTCAGACATAGAGAGCCTACAATCTCCATGAGTAAACTGTTCCACCATTGTACAGAACTTAATGCCAGGTGTTTTCCTTATATTCAAATGAGATTTAGGTGGCTGTAAGTTTTATCTTTAAATCCCTTAGTTTCTCTTTATGTACCTGAACATGGGTTTCATGTCTCTTCTCAGTCTTCTTTTCTCCAGCTTGAACATCTCCAGTTCCTTCAGACTGCCTCTTAGAAGTTGTCAAAAGCCCCTGTAATATATTTGCTGCCCTCCTCTAAACCCCTGTAATATATTTGCTGCCCTTCACTGGTGCTAGAGAGGAATAATGACTTCACATCTCTTTTATACAATGCAGCCCAGAATTATAATATCTCTTTTAGCAGCTCTTGATAAACATGGCAGTGAGGGATGTTTGCAAAATTATGAATGGCTAAGAGTCAGATATCCAGTAGAATGGGTAAAAAAAAAAATCAGGAGTCTGCTAACACATTTTCAGACTTCGTTAATCAGAAAAGGTGCTACCAGACTCTTTCTGATGTTTTTGTCACTGTAAACTAATTTGACTCTTCTACAATACCTTTAATGGAATGGCGTCATCATCCATTTAAGGATGATGTTTCTTGAGAGTTCCAGAATGGACGAAGAAAATGTAAAAGTGTCACTATTCACCATCCAAGCCTCATATATATAATGTCATTCCAGTCTTTGGCCTGAATTCAGACTAAAACAGATCTAGATAATGGTTTCTTCCAGAACCCTTGGAGTGTTCTCCCATCAGTTTCTTGATAAGTTTCCACCCAAAGAAGAGATTGGAGATCAGGTTGAAGAAAAGGGATAGTCTCCTAGAAGAACTGGATGAAAGAATGACTTCTTGGGGAAGAAGGTGCACTGATGCCTTCAAAAAGTATGTCATCATCCGCTCCATCAGAGAAGCATCCATCACAGCTCAAAGCAGCCCCTGCTGACTGAATTAATTAAATTGTTTTTTTAATCTAATTTAAATTTAATCAAATTGAATTTCTTTGTCCTAAAACCTTCTATTTTGAGAAGATCTACACCAGTCGGCACCCCTATTGGAGAGATTTGGTCTTCGGCTTTTATAAAAACTTGCTGGTGTAAGCCCCCTGGAGACTGATGGTTCTGATTGGAGACCTGAAGAAAGATTATCAGTTATTGAAGTAACTGTGAGAGGGACCTCGGAGTCCTAGTGGACAATCACTCAAATATGAGCCAGCAGTGTGCTGCAGCTGCCAAAAAAGCCAACACAGTGCTGAGCTGCATTAACAGAGGGATAGAATCAAGATCACGTGAAGTATTAATACCGCTTTACAATGCCTTGGTAAGGCCACATTTGGAATACTGCATCCAGTTTTGGTCACCACGATGTAAAAAAGATGCCGAGACTCTAGAAAGAGTACAGAGAAGAGCAACAAAGATGATCAGGGGACTGGAGGCTAAAACATATAAGGAACGGTTGCTGGAATTGGGTATGTCTAGTTTAACGAAGAGAAGGACGAGGGGTGACATGATAGCAGTGTTCCAATATCTCAGGGGCTGCCACAAAGAAGAGGGAGTCAAGCTATTCTCCAAAGCGCCTGAAGGCAGGACAAGAAGCAATGGATGGAAACTAATCAAGGAGAGAAGCAACCTAGAACTAAGGACAAATTTCCTGACAGTTAGAACAATTAACCAATGGAACACCCTGCCTCCAGAAGTGGTGAATGCTCCAACACTGGAAGTTTTTAAGAAGAGACTGGACACCCATTTGTCCGAAATGGTGTAGAGTTTCCTGCCTGAGCAGGGGGTTGGACTCGATGACCTCCAAGGTCCCTTCCAACTTTATTATTATTATTATTGGTTGCTGGGTTGCCATCTGGAAATTTAAAGAGCCATTGTCCCAATTTCATTGCTCTGTGAATTATCATTTTGTTGAACTAAAAAACCCCCACCTGTCTTCATTGGACCATTAGTTCTTGGGTTGCTGTAATCTATATATGTTCTTTGCAATCCCTGGTGAGGATTTTCTCTGCCTTTTTAATTCCCACAACATTGTCCTATGCCCTAGGATATCAAACCATGAAGTAGGGCTGTATTATATTGTCCTTCTCATCTTTCCTATTACCTATTCCTTTAGCATCTTATGGCTATCATTTTGCTGTTTGTATCTTATGATTTATGTTTCTTGCTTTTATTTAGTATCTTATGACTATCACTGAATGTTGTATCTTACAATTTATGATAATTGTATTTTATGATTATGATCATGATTTATCACTTGTTGGTTGTATGTGCACCAACAGCTTATGCATTGGGGACAAATTCTTGTGTGTCTAATCACACTGGGCCAATAAAGAATATTCTATTCTGTACTATATGCTTCTCCCACCAGTGTTCCAGTATTCCAGTGACAGTCATTTCTCTGAAATGATATAGGGTCTCCTGCTTGACTAGAACAGGGCTTTTCAACCAGTGGTACGGGTACCACCTGTGGTACATTGGCACCTGGCTGGTGATATGTGACCATCCTAGAAAAGTGGTAGCGGGGGAGGGGAATGACCTGAACCGGTGGCAGCACCGCACAAGCCTGAGTGAAAGATGTTGGAGCTGCAGGGCTGTCAGGGCTCAGCGGAAGCATCAGGATCAGTGCCGCTTTCCAGCTGATTGGCACTTCTTCGGGGCTCAGTGGAAGCACCAGGATCAGCACCAGGCTCCAGCTGGAGCTTGGTGCTGATCCTGGCACTTCTGCTGAGCCCAGAAGAAGCGCCGATCAGCTGGATTGTTGCAGCATCTCCAGGGTCTTGTGATTTACATTCAGATGCTTGGCAACTGATTCATATTTATGATGGTCACAGTGTCCCAGGGTCATGTGAAGTGACCAAAACCTGCTGCAACCACCCAGCAGACAGGTGGAATAAAAACCAAACACTCCCCAACCCACCCTCGCTGCCAATCCCCAACAGAAATGCTCACAACAATGAAAACCTCGGACAGGAGGAAGAGCGCTGCTGGGTGGGCAGGCAGGTGTCTTGCTCAGCTGTGGCTTGGGGGGCACTTTTTTCAGTGCCATTGTAACTTTGAACAGTCATTAAGCAAACTGTTGTAAGTCAAGGACTACCTGTACTTTATCACTTTTTTCCTTTTTTTGGGGGGGGGTCATCAAGTTTTTGACACCTTGCTAGGAGACTGGTGGTACTTGGATGTTGCCATATCCTAAAAGTGATACAATGGGTGAAAAGGTTGAAAAACCCTGGACTAGAAGACCTTAAAGGTCCCTGCCAACTCTGTTATTCTATTATGAGGGTCGGGGATTGCAACCAGATTAACTGAGGCTGTTTTTTCTCTCTTCTCCAGGATTTCTCCTCCAACTTGGCTTTCCTGATTACGTTGTTCATCACTCTGCTTATCTTCAGCCTCATCTTGATCTTTGTGTGCATGGAAAACATCTTCCAGAGATGCACCCGCCTCTTCTCAGCTGTCATTTGGACTTGCCTGATCACAATGGGTTATGTATTCATCTTTGTTGGTGGAGTGGTTTGTGCTTGGGACCAGGTGAGGCACCAAGGTTGGGTCGTCTGCTGCATAAATATAAAAATGGGGAATGAGCATTTACAGAAGAAAGCTTTTCATAATCTTTTTTTAGGATCAAAGCCAATATATACCGGATGATCCCAGGGAAAGGCATCTGTGAAATTTGTGTCATGAAATAAGATATCATGATATCATGACATAAAATCTCCCCTTTTCTGTTTTTTTTTAAAATTTTTTATTAATAATACAAAATTAAAAACACATTGGACATAGATATGACGTAACTGGTTTATTATTTATTTATTTATTTATTTATTTATTAATTGCATTTATATCCCGCCCTTCTCCTTACGGACTCAGGGCGGCTGACAATTGAATAAAATACTAACATATATACATATACTTAATTAAAATTTGATTAAAACGAAATATTTAAATATGTCCAATTTTAAAGTAATTAAAACCCCCTTTAAAATCCCTCAGGCCAGTCCCGCTAGTTGGAACAGCCACGTCTTGAGGGCGCGGCGGAAGGAAGGGAGATCAGGGATCACCCTGATCTCTGGGGGCAGTTCGTTCCAGAGGGTGGGGGCTCCCACAGAGAAGGCCCTCCCCCTTGGGGTCGCCAGCCGGCACTGTCTGGCTGACGGGACCCTGAGGAGACCCACTCTGTGAGAGCGTACAGGTCGGTGGGGGGTAATCTGTGGCAGGAGGCGGTCTCGAAGGTAACCAGGTCCGATGCCATGGAGCGCTTTAAAGATAATAATCAGCACCTTGAAGCGCACCCGGAAGGCCACCGGCAGCCAATGCAGCTCGCGCAAAAGCGGCGTGACGTGGGAGCGACGAGTCC